CCTTTTAATTATGTTTGAAATTATGAACATTGCTCAACATCATGAAATTAAACCTTATTTTCAATAAGCAATCCTGAAAAATATTTGGGGGTGCTTAACTTTTTTCCAGGTGTATATTTTAAGACTAATTTGACAATTTTTTTCCACACATGCGAGGATTGTCATTTTGTATATAGGTTCATTTTTTAACAACGTATCTTTAATAATATTTTTAAATTTAAATACATGTACATATGAAAATTGAGCAAAGAAAAAGGTACTTTTGTCATCTGGTTCTGAAAAATTAGCACTTTTAAGTTCAAAACAATTAAAATGGGCACAAACAAAATTCAGAAATATAATATTTAAAACTATATTAGGGTTACTGTGATAATAAGAATACTTTACGTAAAAGACTCTTGTTGATGATTAGTTAAAAAGCTTTTTGTTCTATATTAGTCTTGCTGTCCTATTTGAAAACAAAAAGAAATGCACTGAAGCATTAAGAATTTGTAAAAATTATCATTTTAAATCGTGTTCCTCAAAACATTTTCTCTAGTTGCGCTTTATTTGCAACAGATAACTACTTGAGCAGGTGAAACACCTTTTGTTTTAACGTAAAACCAAACTTACGAGTTTTTTATTATTTTGACACATACTAAATAATATAATACAACTGAGCAAAAACTTGTGGAAGTATTAAAGGTATAGCCTTACACACACACAAAACAGCCACTACACACAGTTGCCATAACACCCAATAAATGCACAAAGAGTTACCATAACACCCAATAAGTACTTATACACATAGTACAAACTAAAAATGAAGCATTAATTTTTTTCTGAATTACACTAAGTTTTGATAAAATGTAATATAGCTAAAATGGCGCTATTTTATTAGACAATCCTATAAATTGTATTTAAACAACAGTAAGTATCTTTGAAGAATAGGAAGTGAATCTCATATTTTGGCTCTAAAAATTCATTACATTCGCACAATATTTATCCAAGTAACTATTACCTTATCCTGACTGTCACTATAACAAACAATATTTCAAGAAATTACTTACTCCTCATTTATTTTTCACTGTCCACATACAGAATATTTTTAAATGACCGACATCACAAAAAAAAGTCAAGTATAACATACATAAAAGAGATCTCACGACAGAGTTCTAAAATATTACGATAATTTAACATCAAAACAGCTTACAATCTACTTAAAAATCTTAAGACTAATACTGGTTAACCCAAAAGACCCTCCCTCCACCCACCTTTATGTACAAGCCTTTCCAAACATGTACGGATGTGTAATAAACAAATTAAACCACTAACCTCCTCCTGGGAATGATGAGTGTGATAAGAGATGCTGTGATGGCAAAGGAAACTGACCTCTATACCCAGAAAAATTAGTTCCTGAAAACGATGTAGGTGGCACTCCTGGAGGAAAACCTGCAAAATAAATAAATAAATATATAAAAGGTTCAGTTTATCTTGCGTATCATGTCCGTTGAAAATAAATATTTTCAAACAAAAAAGGTCACATGTAAAGGTTATAAACACACACATGAGACGAAGTAATTGTTTGTAGGTTAAGCACAAACAAATAAAATAATCAGTGATTATAACTACTTTTATAAAAGTAACAGTATACCTCATGTAACTAAAATTCGCAGACTTACAAAACCAATACAACATGAAAACATGCTAGAATGTAAATATATCAAATTACGCATCCTAACTTCAAATTATTAAAGCTACAATGAAAAGAACTAAACAAGCCTGGAAAAGAGCAGCACTGGAAGAAATACCATCATATAAAGAAATAAAACCAATATCATTTGTGAGAACATCAGAGATGGGTACTCTATTAAAAAAAAAAAAAAAAAAAAAAAAGTTATTTTTTTACAAACCTGGATGGGGACCACTCTGTGCAGCAAAGGTTGGTAATTGTGTGGGAGGCAGTGTAACACCAGTTTGAGGTTGCCCTGTCAGTCGAGACAGTATTCCCCGTTCAGACATCTGAAGTCTCTGTGCCACTGGTGGTATTCGAGCAAGTGTAGCGGGGAGTCGACTCACGTCCGACTTCATGTCACTAAGAAGCTCTTCTAATTGGTTGAGCACTAATAAAAAAATATATCTTTAAAATGGGCATAGTGTTAACCTCAAAACAAAAATTAATGGTAAAATTAGTATTATAGTTCTGCCTTCATGAAATCCTCAGCATAATCCTGCATATCATGACTGCCAAAAATAAATATTTATTTCCAAAAAAAAAAAAGTCACATGTAAGGCTTACAAACACTCACACGAGCACAAGTATTTGTTTGTAGTTTAAGTACAAAGCTGGACTATTTGTGCTCTGGCCACCACGGGTATCAAAAACCAGTTTCTAGCATTGCAAGCCCACAAACATACTGCTGTGTAACTGGAGGGGCAAGCAGAAGTAATACAATGTAAAATATGAAGGGAATGTGATGACTTGTTAAACTAAAACAATATTTCAAAGAAAACCCTAGATCTACCTTTTTTTTTTCAGTTTTAGTTTTCTTGATTTCCATTCTTAATTTGTTGAAAATATCTCAATGAAAAGGGACTTGAATTACACTCGTCTGATATTTGTATAATAAAAAGAAGTGATATGCCTCCAAATTTTTACAACATAGTTAAGTTACAGCTTTTGCTCTTCCTAACGTAATTATTTATTCAGCAGCCAAACGAGAAGTGGCTGTCATTCTCTCCAGAAAAATCATATCAGGTTGACAATTTAGTTCTAATTGAGAATAATTAACATAATATTCATCTCTAATTGTACTTAAAATGACAAACCACCCCCTACCTTTGTGTAGGACAGCATTGGCTGGCTTATTCCCGGCCAAAGACTCTTTGGACAGATGTTGGTGAGATTCTGCCAAGCATTCCAACTCTGCAAACCTGAAAAGTACAATTTTCTAGAATAATATTCCCATAATTTTATGTATGCAAAGAAAAACAAAAGTAGTAGAAAAGGACAAAATTCCTGACCAGCCACATAAAAAAGAAGTAAAAATTTAAATTTAGTTTAAACTTTTTAAATCTACGTATAAACTTTTAAACTTAAGAATATTTTTAGATCCTCTCTTAAAACCTTTTTGAACTTTAGTTTTGTAAAAAGGTTATTTTTACATTTTTATCACAAGCAAGAGAACAATGGTTAGTTTCAAACTCATGATTACTCGATGTTGCCTGAATCACGAGTTCCCATGGTAACAAGCCCCCGTGTAAAGGGAAAGAAAGACCATATCTCTTTACACATTTTCCACAAATCTTCCACTGTAACTTGGCATTAGAAGTATGTGTGGTTGTATTAGCTTCATTGTCCCTTTTGTAAACATTATCTTAACTGATGACGGTCCTTCTCCAGTTTGGGTTAGGGTGTAGATTCGGAGCCCATTACTCTTCTAAATGCTCAATTGTGCAAGTTTCTCTGCAGAAACGTTATTTTGGTTGGTCATAGCTTAATAACTAACTCAATATATGAATATCATTCCTCTGTATCAAGCTATTTAGAAAAATGATTACGTTTATTAGTTTTCTATTTTGTCTCCATAATGTATTTCATATTACTTCCTACTGCTAGAATTCCAAGTCAGTATCAATCAATTGTACAAATAGTTCACATATAAAGTTTCCAGAAATGCAATGTCTACCTTGCATTTAGTGCCATAGCAGGGTGGCTGCCATCTTGGGTCAAGTTCAGATACGCTGCTCGACGTAGCTGTTCTTCAATGACCAAAGCTTGTTCCAAGAGCTGTTAGGAAAACAAAAACACTTTTTAAGATTCTTCTACTTTATAATATTAGGTTTGTTAAAATGTTAACAGTCATAATAAAATAGACGCATTTTGAGTCCTTAAATAAAACATTGTTTGCCCTCTAAACAAGACATTCGATAAAGTGGAAACTCAATAAATATTAACTTTTAAATAAGAGAATAACATTATGTAAGATACATTCTACTCATGTAGAATGTCTCACAAGATTATGTCTGGTCAAATCTTATCAAGCTGTTATCTAAAGATTCTAGATTCTGTATACATCAGTTTTTCTTTCCAGAAAAAGTTTATGTTAACACTGATCATTTGTAGATAAAGAAACAACAGCAACATAAAAATGGTATACCACTATCAAAATACAGGGAATGAAGACAGACCCCCTCCCCCAATATAAAAAAAATATGAAACTCTAACATGTCGAAGCACTTATATTTTTCTTGTTGCTTACCTTAAACCTTCTAGCCAGGAACTTGTTCTTGATTTCAAGAAAGTTGCCCTTGCCAACATCCATTTTGAAAGGTTCATTGATTATAGCAAACATTGAGTCATTCTGGATATCTTGCCATCTTCCATAACCATGTCTATAAAGGAAGTTCAGAAAAACCCTCCAATTTTATTAAAAAAACAACACTGTATCCTATCTGGCTTAATAAGGGCCTACACCACATAGCATACATAGACTTGTTACTAAAACATTAACAGAAATGAAGAGTTATACATAAAACTAATTACACAAGTATTACAGGGATCATACAAAAATAGGGGAGTGGAATAAATTTCTTACTTATTGAATTTTAGAATATATTATAATACTTTTAATGTATTCATTATGGAGTTGTTGTTTTGTTCTTATTCCAAATTTTACTGTATGTTTTATTGACAGATATGATCATTTAAAAGTATAGGTAAATCACATTTTCAGAAATTTGATACTTTGGTAATAAAGTCAGAAAAAAAAGAATGACCTTTACTATCCAGATAATAATAATAAAAAACAATTAAACAATTTTTCAGCCAATGTTTTGCCCTTACTGCTTTATCAGGCCTAGTAATACAAGAACCACTAGTTCTGATGAAGCCACAAGGGCAAAACATAGGCTGAAATTAAAAAAATTTTATTATTATTATCATCTGGAGTGTAACGGTCGTTCTTTTGTCTAACTTTATTTTCAAAATATCTAAATCCCTTCAATATGCACTACAAATTCGGAACAACAAGAAAACTTGAGTATTTTGGATTCATTACTTGCGATTTAGTTACTTCTATGATCATGCGTACTCTGAATTTTGTCAAGAGCTACATACTTTAGCACTGCATGTCTCACAATAAGAAGCTCGTAACGTAAGACTAGTTTATCCCAAAACTTTCAAAAATGATTAAAAAATATCAACACTTCCTAAAACAGCAGAGATTAATTTCTAACTTTGAAAAAGTTTAATAAGTTCTGAATGCACAATTGTTTCCAAATTTATTCCTATTTCTCGTTGTTTAAGTGAAAGGATATTGGGTGGTCTTGGTCTTCTTTCAAGGTTGCAATGCATTTTTGAAAAATGAAAATGATGCAATAGGCCCAGAGATTATACACAATATGCATATTTTTTTGGCTCCACTATAACTCAGTGGTAAGGACTTTTAATGCTAAAAACTGCATTTTGATGCATGCACAGTGGGGAGAACACAGATATCTTTGTGTATAACAACAAAGAAAGATTAATTCATTTGCATGCTATCACATCAAATTAAGGACTAACTGAGGAGATGAAAAAAACAACATTTTCCAAACATCATTCTTCAAATTAAACTAAACACTGCGAGAAGGATACTTGACAATGCCAGACAGTAACCAGTAGTCATGACGACGATGCCAAATCTCATATTCCCTTCCAAGAACAGCAGCTTTTTCTTCATTTTGCCAAAGTGTGTGAAGTTCTGTGAAGCCTCCGTCAGCGATGTTAAACATAAATTTTCTCTTCTGCTTGGTCTGATCTGACTTCTTGTCTTGTTGAGACTGGTGAAACTGTGAATCCACCTTGGGCTCTCCTTCTTCATCTACTTTGTTCTTAGGCTTTTCATCTTTTTCAGATTTATTTTCAACCTTTGTTTCTGAATCTACCAACACAATCAGTCCACATTAATCACACAAAAACAATATCTCCCATTCAAAGAAAGTAATACCACAACTTAGTATTAAAATAACTGCAAAATATCAAATGAACATTACCGGTTTACCCGTTACACAAATATGAGTGTAAACTTCTCCATTGTAATCTTTATTGTTTTGAAATAACACAAGTAATCATCAAATTCAATATCATACCTGCTTTCTCCTTTTCTTCCTTAATTTCTTGCTTCTTATCTCCATCTTTCTCTTCTTGTTTTCTGTCAGTATCTAAGTTTTAATAAAAAGGATGAAATTATAATACTCGTTGTAGTTTACTAGAATCATAACTACTTCAATTTAAATACTTATCCAACTGTTAATGATGGGTTTTCTTTTCTTCTGGGTTAAAAAACAGCAACAAACTATCATTCACTCAATGACCTACGAACTTCCACTCACTAAAGGTCACAACTTTCCGTTTAAAAAATATTTATGTTGCACTGCTGGATAATTACTAATACTATAATAAAAAGACCAGGAAACACAGTTATACATACTATAAAATCATTTAAACACAGTTATACATACTATAAAATCATTTAAACACAGTTATACATACTATAAAATTATTTAAACTTTCCTATTTTTACAATAACACTATGAATCTACCACAGGGTTCATACTTCATTTACTTTTTAAATACAATTCAAGGACTTTTTAGGGTTTTCAGGAATAAAAAGAATGAATTTTTAGCAATAATCTTCCATTTTAGATAACGTGGATACAGTTATCATGAATTAAAATATTAATTTATATTAGCTTATTGGTTTCAATGACCTGCATAATGTTTGAGTATTTTGATCACTTGTATTTGAATAGAAGCTTTTAAAAAAGAATGATATTTTTTTTAAAAAGAAATTTTTGGGGAAATGCTAGGTATGATTCTTTGATAGATTGTTTAGGCAGAGTATTCATGACGAAACTTAATTGAATGGATGGCACACTGCCTGTTGTAGAAACACAAGTGTAGAGGACGACATTTTGAAAATCTTCTGCCTTTCGTCATCGGGTCAGTGTGTGTATGGTGTCTGGTAACTATAAAGACTGACTACACCATACACAGTCTGACTTCATGATGAAAGGCGGAAGAATTCTGAAACGTTGTCCTCTACACTTGTGTTTCTACAACAGGCAGTTGCCATCCATTCAACTAAGTTTTATTTTGGTTGATTCGTTAGCAAAAAGTCCCCAGTCTCCTTTGTCCTGATTCTGCACAATGCTTGGCTAAGTTACAGTAGATTGCTACTATCCTTTTCTTGCCAAAGCATAGGCTTTTCTTCAACAAGTTATTTATTATTAAAAGTACAACTTCCAGTTGTTGTGTAAAATAAACAAACAATGCAAATGAAAGAATAGCAATGAACCAGGAGAAAATATTCTGGTTTACTGAGTGTGTTTTAGACAAGATAAATATGAATAAACTCTATATAGATCCACCTGTTGATTTTCAAGGACCAGGAGCTATTTGGATAAAATTCGAGTGTTTTAAAGCAATGTACAAACCCTGATGAGACTATTCATTATTTGTTACATGAGGACAGAAAAGAAAAAACAACAACATATTGAATCAACTTGATATTCAAGGGAAACTGAAAGTACAAAAGTAAAGTTTACAATTGAGTATATCAAGAACTTTTTTTAATTGTTGAATTATTTTATTGTTTATGCCAGTAATATCTTAGAATGGAAAATGAACGCTACATAACTGTGGTTTATATCTTTATGAGATTCTCTTGTGAGAACTTATGTAAGCTTAAGTTATTATATTCAGGACTATCTTCCAACAACAATTTCTCTCCTATACTTGAAATTTATATCATCTTAAGACTTCTACGGAGAATACCACAAAGGTCAGACCAGTTTTTTTAAGTAAGTAACGAGAGAACCATGTGATGCCTACAGATATTCAAAATAAATTTCCAGATGAAGATAAGTTTTTTTTTTTACAAAATCACCAGGAATTTACATGGCAAAATGTTATTCTTTTATTTTATTCTACAAATCATTTTTAATGCCCATTTATCATGTAGGCAATTATCATGTGCCCAGTGATCGTGATTAATAGAAGCAGTGATAGTTTTTGGTCACACCCAACTGATTAATATCCCTTAGATATCATAACTATTATGTAAACTTGAGCTTACACTTAAGTATCTAGCTGATGAATTATGTACCAACTGTAACATCGCATGAAAAAAAAAAGCCATTTACCAGGCAGTGTGTATTAAGCAACACTCGCAAGTATTAACATTTGTATGTTTTTATCAAGTTAGAAAATATAATCATACGAGACAATCAAAATTTTCTTTTTGATCATAGGAACAAAACAGACACTTCTGAGGAACACATTTCTTTACATAAGTTAAAACATGGTACAGCACCTGGATCATCCACTTCCATTGGTTCTTCTTCCTTTGTTTCTTTCTTCTCTGAATTTTTATCTTCTTCAGGTTTCTTTTCTTCTACTTCTTTGGATTTTGTAGTTTCCTATTACGGTGATTACAGTGTACAAATATAGATACCGAACAAAAACAGAATAATTTTAATTGTTCCAATCATTCCCAAATATAGTAGGTAAAGAAAAAAGGAGATAATATAAAGACAACAAACTAACCACACTATTTAGCAAGAAAACACGATTCACAGCAAACAGGTGTAGCCTATAACCTATTTGCGACATGTGGTTTCATAAAAAATATAAAGTAAAAAGAATGAACTTCAGTGAGAAAATTTGTCTTTAGAATATTATACTTGATTTCTAGGTTAAATATTTTTTTTTATCGTATATCTTATGAAGAGAATAGGCCAGTATCGAGTGAAAATTCTTTAATTCGTCAATGTTTCACCTTACAGCTTCATCGAAAGGTAGACACCCTACTGAACACAGTCCTAGTCTTAACAGAACAAAACAGCTAATATAATAATACAAGATAACAAACATGCATTCTCACGTACCATCTGACGTGCGACCATGATATCAACAATAAAAATGTAACAGTAGTACACATATGTTAAAATATATTCGCTTAAAATCAACAAAAGATGACTCATGAACATTTAAGCCAAATAAATATGTACTTGTAAATAGTAAGTGTACTTAAAACCAAATATATTCTACACCTTATTACAAAAGAAATTTATTACCATTACCTTTTCATTGTCAATAATGTGACTACATGTCAGATGACATACGAGAAAGCACTGATATTGTTACATCAACTATTTTGTCATGTTAAGACTGGTCTTGTGTTCAGTAAGGTATCTACCTCTTGATAAAGCTGTAAGGTGCGACATAGAGGAATTAAAGAATTTTCACTCGATACTGGCCATTTCTCTTCATAAAAAATATTTACACTTCAGTGTGCACTATGCTACCCAAACTCTTTGGGAACTTATTTCTTATCTCAATCTTTTGAGATACATTATTTTATGGTAATGCCCCCCCCCCCTTTAATATTCCTTTACTAATTACAAGCAGAATGTTGATAAAACCTTGTTTCGCTTATAATTTCACACCTTTTATTATTATTTTTTAATTTTATTTGCACAGTTTTTCTTGTAATAATTCTAGTTTTCAACTCTATCTTTATATTTAACTAATACCTCTTTAGTTTCTTCAGACTTGTTAGTCATCTCATTGTCATTGTCAATTAGTTCTTTTCCATTCTCTTCCGCGATACTGGAGACTGGTGTAGGAGCTGGGGTAGATGCCTTACTATCTAAAGGAGTAGGGACAGGAGAAGTATTGTTGCTAGGTAATGAGGTAACAGGAGTTGTAGTGAAGGTGGTAGATGTGGATTGAACACCTATTTGAGAACCTTCAGGTGCTGACCTCAACATCAGGTCTTCAGCAGGCATGCTGTATAAACCATTGATATGTTCAAATTCCTGAACCTAAAACACATATTAAAAACAATTAGAACATCACTATGATGGGCTTAAGTATTCAACCTTGTTTAATTAATTCCATTGTAAATTAGAGTTCCTTTTTTTTAATAATGTTGGAAACAAAAGGAAATTAACTGGTTAAAAAAAATACACACAATATGTAACTAAAAAGTTTAATTAAATACAAAACCATGAAACTATAAAAAACGTATCATTCCAATAGTTTTAATCCTTAAAAACTGCTGGTATGTATAATACTTAACATATTCAGTGATAAAAAAAAAGGAGTTGCCTTTATAAAAAAATTAAGCAATTCTAGAAGAAAGTGCATTTCAAACTGCAGAAATTAAAATGGTTTCAGATTTCTGATTTTAGTAATGCCAGAAGAAACTTTGTAATTCAAGATACCCTACATAAATAAACATCAGGAAGTACCAAATCCTGCTAATGAAAAGTTTTTCAAATATATATTAACCATTACTTGAAGAAAGTCTCAGCATATCTTAAACTATCACTTAAATTACACGAGTATTTTCATGTAATTTGATAATAACATTGTTTGGATTAGTTTTCAGAAAAAGCGACAAGTAAATTGGAATTTTTGACCAGATGCTATCAGCACCCGCTCGTGTTTAAGGAGATAAGACTTGGCTCGTGTTAAATGAATATTTTCTTCACCATATTTATACTGGCTGTGTTTGAATTATAATAATAATGTAATTT